TTATATACTTTCACAAAAAGTGTGAAAAAAGTCAAACAATGTCTTTTATTCTAGGTTCTTCAAAATAGGAAACTTTTGTTTTGATTGCTGCTTTGCATACTGTCAGCATTCTCTTGATGAGCTTCAAGTGATAATCACCTGAAATGGTTTTCACTTCACAGGTATCCCCCATCAGGTTTAATAAGTGGGACTTCTTGCCTAATAAATGTGGTTGGGACCATCAGTTGTGTTGTGCAGAAGTCAGGCGGACACACAGCTGATAGTCCTACTGACTAGACTGTTAGAATTTGCATTATGGCAAGAAAGAAAGTCTGTCAGACCAAAAAAATTGGCAAAACTTTGAAAGTGTCCCCAACTGCCATCCCAAAAACCATCAAGCACTTCAAAGAAACTGGCTTACATGAGGACCGGCCAAGGAAAGAAAGATCAAGAGTCACGTCTACTGCTGAGGATAAGTTCATACGAGTCTGTGAAGTAGCAATCTAAGCAAAAGGTGGCTACTTTGAAGAACCAAGAATATAAGACATATTTTCACTTGTTCCACACTTATTTGTTAAGTATATAATTCCACATGTGTTAATTCATAGTTTGCATGCCTTCAGTTTGAATCTTCAATTTTCATAGTCATGAAACTAAAGAAAACTCTTTAAATGAGAAGGTTTGTCCCAAAAAAAAAATTAATATATATATATATTTACAACATCTTCCTCATCCTCACCTATTGTGTTCTATTCTAACTAAAGGTAACAATAGACAATTACCACAACTTAGAAAAAATGAATCTAGAATGAATTATTACTGCTATTAGTAATTTATCAACACCACATAACCTTTTGAACAGAACTTAATTTTAAGGACACACTGTTATTCCCAAAGAGGCCACAAAATAATGCTTCCATAACTAAAAAAAGATAAAATATAGAAAAAAAAGAAAAACACAAAAGTAACAGTTAAATGATAACCCTTGTTACAGAGAATAAAGTTACTTGTTCCAAGCTGGTTTTCCTTTAAAGATCCTAATTACTGTGGCACGCTAATTAGGTAGTCACTAAAGTGCTGAAACCTAATGAGACCTTAAACATAAAGAGACACATGGATACTTGGGGAGGTCCAATCGACACAGACAGATTCAGGCTCTGGTACAGACATAGCACAGCTCTTATTTCCAATTCTGTAAGCCTTGTTATTTATGCCGAGTGTTCCGACTTGCTCTGTGTTAAAAAACAAAAGAAGATATAATGTAAGGAAATGATCCAAATACTGACTGAAAAAAATCTATATTCTTGGCATATTTGCTGCTATTTCCCCATATTTATAGTAAAAGTCCTTGAAGCATTTAATGTATGCTTATGGGCTTCCTGGTGACAGTCTGTAATGTATAACTGCTGTAAAGTGACAAAAAGGGAGCTCTTTTTTTTGCTGCAGTGATGATGCATTGTTTCCAGGCAGCGTGGGCACTCACAACAGCGCGACTCATTAGTTCCTCTGTTTTAAACTATTTAAAACCATCATGAACTCGCTCCCTCAGCAGCAGTGTCTTAGACTGTGAGGGTGTGAACCTGATCTTTGCCTTTTTACCCTTTCCTCTGTTCATCTGAAGCCACTTTACTAATCAGTCCTTTTAGCATTTAAAGCCAAGATGGGGCGTCAGCCCTCTGCTTTGAGCTCAGTGTAGTCACTTTCTAGTGTTCAGCTATTCCTGACGAGTCCCTCCCATGTATCAGATTCTGCCTCTGGCTGCTCCTCCTGAGTTGTTTTTTCCCACCTGGTTTTTGTAACCTTACATCTTCTTTTTGAAGTAAATCTCCCTTTTTTGTCTCCCCTGCCTTGCCTTTGGTGTCTTGCTTTTGGGTCCTTTGAATTGAGCCCAAGTCGTTCCGATTACCATTATAAAGATTTCCAACATGAACCAGCTTCGGCTGGAGAAGCTTTAGTCTTTGCGGGATCCATCGCAATTACTTTTTTATCTGAGTTGAGGATTTTGTAAAATTATCTAATGATTCCGTTTTGGTTTTAATGGAGAGACATTATAATCATACATCCTTCAGTTTATTGTCTATTCAGGGTGATCAATGCAAGGTCACACATTCACAGAATCAATAGGGCAGTTTTAGACAGACCAGTTGCCCTAAAATGAATGTTTTTACACTATTTTAGCACCCAGAAAGAATCCACCACATGCATAAAAGAACATACAAACTCAATGCAGAAAAATTACAGAATTATATATCTTATACTAGGACCTTCTTGCTGCAAGGAAACAATGCAGCAACCGCTGATCAGATTATTTTCCTAATATTTGGAGAGAAAGTTTAAACACTGTCTTGTTTAAAGTGATACTAGAGAGAACAATCAGAAGTGAAAGTATAAACTTTGGCATCCAGTGCAACTCAGACTATACCCATCTTCTCTCCTTCCACCAAAAAGCCGAAATGAGCACTGACCCTTTATTCAGCTGCCATTTTTTTATGTAGTGTGATGTCATATTCTATTGGAAAAAAGCACATTGAGTCAAAACTGAGATTGCAAAAGTCCTCTGAGAGAAACTTGCTGGCATGAAGTTGACAGCTTTCTCAGAAAAAGCAATAATGTATAACCTTAAGTTCACAAAGCATTACTAGACACAGATTCAAGAGCCTCGGTTCCACAGCTATTTACCAAAATATTCATACCCATGAAATGTTTTCATGTTTTATGCTATTAAAGACATTGTTTTTCATATAAATAAACTAAAAGAACTCAGTGGATAATTGCAAAGTCAACGGGACAAAACACACAGTTTGTAATTCATCATCATCATCATCATCATCATCATCATCTTCATTATCATCATCATCTTTATTTGTAGAGTGCAGCACGTATCGGGTGAAAAGAGCTGCTGGTTTGTGGGGTATGTCTCTACCACAGTTGCGCATCTAGAATTTTGGCCCATTCTTCATTCCCCAAAAGCCCAGTGTTAGTTTGGATAAAGGTCATCTGTAACTATATATTTTCAAGTATTGTCATACTTTATCAATGATCGTTCGACTGGATCAAGCTAACAGATGTTTTGATCTCAACATTGTAGCTCTGCTTTTTTAAGCCCAGTCTGAGATTTTAATGGATTTTCCTCCAGGACTGCTGTTACAGCTGTTCTTACCAGCTCTCTGATCTGTGCTGCAGAACAGCATTCTCAAAGCAAGATTCTACAAAAAAACATGTTTTGCCTCAGACAATGTATGTTTAAGGGGCACACAGCAGGTTCATTAAGAAGTCCAGAATCTTTTATTTCATTGTGCATCCCTGACATATTGTTTCTTTGTTTCAGTTGTAATTTCACCTTGTCACTGGACAATTAAAGCTGGATTTGTTGCATTACTGTGGGCCTCTTGGCTTTCTTTTTGGTGATCTCCCTTCATTCTGTTTTTTTTTTTTTTAGGTAGGTCCAATATATACTAGGCTTTGCCATTCTCCCACCTCAACCACTTTCAGATGATGGAAATATATATATATATGATTACTATGAATGAGCATTAGGGTGGGATTTAATACATTTTCTTCTTCCCACTCCCTTTCAGGTCTGTTTTTTTTTTTTTTTTTTTTTGATGAACTGGTATGCACGTGTATGTTTCAATGCATGTAATTGCCTGAAATGAATAACTAAGCAAATAAATAATTAAACAAATGTATTTACAAATTCTTTCTCCATAATGCTGTTGCTTCACTAATGCTCTAACAGAGTCATTTTTTAAAGTGGGGGCTGCGCGTCCATGGGGTATGCAAAGGGGGGCTGAGAAAATTTGCAGGGAGATAAAGACAATTAATGGCATCTATTTTTAATCAATTAACTAATATATAACTTAATACCTTTTGTAAAAACATAAAATATTATTTGCTTTATTATATCCAAATGAAATGATAAAATCAGTGGATTTAAAACTAAACTTTGTGACTTCCCCTGACTAAATAAGAAAGGACCATCCCACTTCGGCAGAGCAGGCACTGACATGCCGTTTCCCTTTTGCAACACCCTACTTTTCTGAGTCTGGCTTTTTTATTGGAAAAGTAATAAAAATAAACAGTACTTCAACACATGCATAAAGACATGCTTGTGGCACTGACACTCACTAAGCCCAGCCTTCCCATTATAGACACTTAATAGAAGTTTAATTTTCTTTGCTCTGTCGTTGTCAACATTTAAAGGTTGATATTTATTGGGAATATAATACAGTGTTGAAAACATGAGTCAATCTGCTCATGTTAAGCAAATGTAATAATCATTTAATAGTGATAGAAATAAGAAAAACATCTAAAAGTTTAATTCTTTCTTTAAATATTTTGTAGCATTGGTTTTGATATACAGTTCCTGGTCAACAGCTACTGCTGTTTGGGGGGCTGCCACATAGAAATGTCTTGGAACCTCTGCTCTAACAAAGCGGCTCAATTTTTAGGCAAATGTAGGACATAATAAATACAATTCATGACAATAACAAGTATTAAAGCAGGAGAAAAACAGCATTTTTGATAAACAATGGTGTGAACTGCAAAATTCCATTCATTTCACAATAAGCCGCTTCATGTTGCTCTAACATATGAAACACCAATCAAATACACCAAGGTTATGGTTGTAACTTGGTAATGTTTGTGTCAACTAATTTCTGTGTCTGGAGAAAAATGTATTTAACACAGTGAAGTGGGTGATGTGTAAATGTTTAACTTACTCAGGGTTGCCTTGGCCTTTACAATGCAGAGCAAACCCCTGCCCTTCTATTGCCATTCTATTGCCGTCTATTGCCTCCGGAGAGATCTCTACCCTAGGAGCATCTGTGCATAGAAGACAAGCACATTAAAACAGAAACACATGGACACAATGCATTTACATCACACATGAATTAGAGCTTTAAACACAAACCACATGCATTTTCATCCATTCATCATATCTGTTCTACATACATCGTCCCACTATGACATAATCCACTTACACAATACCACTGCTTTACCTCTAAGTTGTAGTACCATGACATTGCCCACAAGGGGGCAGCGTTTATACAGACTCAAAACCTACAGTTATGGCATCTTCTTAGCTGATAAAAGTTATTTTCTCACCCACTGTGTTTCAGCTCTAGCTGAGTGCAGCAGGAGGAAGAAAAGAAATCGCTGCCTTTGTGTTGTTATTAAAACAGGGGACATTTTAAGTCAGCCTACAAAAGAGCTGAATCTGCCCACACTTCTAAGTAATACATTTAAAATAGAGCACGAAAGAGCAAAGAAGCAAAATAGAAGAGACCTTTTCCTTTACTATATCCTCCTGAAACTGTTGTATGCTCTTGCCTGTCATCATTCATTCTCACAGCAAACGTTCCAGAGTCTCAGATGACTTACACCAGACTTGCAGCGCCTGCTCGGTCTTCTTCTGTTCATCTTTCAGGGAGTCATGGTCAACGACACAGGAGATGATGGCCTTATCATCGCTGGCACTCACCTCCAGGATGAGCTCACTGCTCACATTGTAAGTGGGGTCGTCTGGAACAGATTCAACCACATCTGGGCGCCCTGAAGCAAATAGAGATGAGAGGATGAGGAGATATTATAAAGTAAAAGTGGAAGGGGCCAGAATCTAGTACAGTATAGCCTAATTAAAAGCAAACAAACGAGTATTTGCATCATAAAAACTACATCTTTAAAACTTCGGCTCTACCTAAGCTTTTGTAGATTGTGTCTGTTTGCTTTTGAATGCAAGTTATCATGGCCTAATCAAAGTTCGGTTCTAAATCCAAATATAAATATGTAGCAAGATGTGAAATGATTTTCAAATTGGCTCTTTGTCAGATAGTTTTGGCATGTCTGTGTTCATCATTTGTTTTTACAGCTAAATAAAGTAATGTCTGAACCAGATCAATGAATCCTTACTTACTGCCATGATAACATGCATTCATTTGATCTGAAACCATTGCAATGTAACATGCAGTATGTTTACAGTCATGTCCACCTGCAAGGAGAGGCTCCTACAAAGGAGCTGACCTAGAAGAGCTAACTCTAATCCTGGCTCCTTTTACAATTGACAAATCCCAAACAAACTGAACAACACCAGTCACAAGAGGCAGTCAAAGCAAACGGCAATCTTCACTAAGAATAAACTTTGCACAAAGAATATGAAGTCAGCTTCAGCTTTGGTTCCAAAATGACTGGATGACTAAAACGAAACAACCGAGGTGTATCATATTGTCACAGCACACCGAGTAAAATACATTCAGATCCATAAAATACACACGGACCCGATCAAACTGCCAGAAAAGTCTAATTTTCTGTCTGTCACAGTGTTTCCAATTTTACAAAATAGCTTTAATTTATTTCACCAAAAGGACATTTTTTATACTTACACATCAGCATTGTCAGTATGATCATATAATCTGCTGGTACAGATTTGTAATTAAGGTATCCTGCTCTCCTTACTGCTCCCCTGCCATTGACCAATCTGAGAAAATGGCCTTGCAACCCTCTTTATGAGCTGATCCACATTTAAGCCCATTCATTCAGCTTAATGATCCCACCAAGTTATAGGAATATCAGCGAAGAAAATGGAAGCAATTTGTACATATTATAATGGACTACAGAAAACCTAAAAGAGACATTGTGCACTATTCTCTAAAGAGGAAAATAAAGCCCTGATGACTGTAATTTCAGTCCTAATTGTCTTCAGTTTTAACTGTTTGTGGCACAGTTTGAGGATTCTAAACCTACTCAATCGTCTACACCTAATCTACCATACAGATATCTCTAAAGTCTCACACGGATATTCAAAGGGTCCTAATGTGTGCTAAATGTGCGTTCATGTGTTCTTCTTTAGACTCGAAATAGTTATACCTAGCAAATACATCTCTTAGCTAACACAGTTTAGGAACATTTCAATGGGAAATGATGATACACACATTTTGGACAAAGTCTGTCTAAACATCTATAGCAATACAAATATATATTATTTATGTAAAAAAAATATGTATTCCAATCAAACCACATTTTGAAAGAATACAAAACTTTTCGTCTGAAACTTTTAAAAACTGCAAGAAAAAATACCATCAGCTGAAGGCTTGTAAGACTGTGGTCCAGGAGAGGGAATAAAAAAAGTCTACATGTTGGATTTAGAAAACCTGGTTAAGCTTGTACTCTGCGATAGACTGCCGACCTGTCCAGGGTGTACCCCGCCTGTCGCCCTTTGACAGCTGGAGATAGGCATAAGCACCCCTTGTGACCCCACAAGGGGTGCTTGTGGGGTCAGCATGCCAGGGCTAAGCATGCCAGAAAATTGGATGGATAGATGGTTAAGCTTGTGCCCTGCGATAGACTGCCGAACTGCCCTGGGTGTACCCCGCCTCTCGCCCAAAAACATTTCTTAACTGTTTCAAATAATGTCCCTATTTTGTTTAAAAATAAACAGTACTGTAAAATGTTTAAACAAATATTGATTCTGATTAAATGAACTTCAATAAATCAAATACAATCTTAGTCTTAGGTTGCTGAGTGAATTTGAAATGAAGGTCTGCTGGGGGAATTAGAAGGGCTGTGGCATTGGGGTGGACAGTAAGCGACCAGACACCATCACAAGATGGACGCCAAAACCACTTTCCCTATTAAAGTAACAAAGGCAAATTACAAGAATCCAATGACAATCAATGGTTTCAGTTTTATTCTAACTCAGTTTATGGGGCAATTTCATAACACTACATATCCTAACCTTGATTAATCCTTGTTTTAACTGTGACAATTAAAGGGATACAACTCTATAAAGTCTTCACACTTGTCTAAGCATCACATTGGTGTCAATATCCCATTCCAAGGAAGTACTTCCTATCAGATGTTTTTTTTTTTTCCATGTGGGGCCAGTCAAGATCCTCCATTCATTCAACATCCATCCATCTTCTCCCACTCTTTCCTTGTCAGGGTTACGGTGGGGCCATTGCCTATCTCAGGCAGTCTATGGGCGATAGGCGGGGGAACAAGCTGGACAGGTCGCCAGTCTGTTGCAGGGAAACACGGAGACACATAAAGACACACAACCATGCACACACACACTCACACACACTTAAGGACAATTTAGAGAAGCCAATTAACCTAACAGTCATGTTTTTTAACTGTGGAGTACCTGGAGTACCCTGAGAGAACCTACGCATGCACGGGGATAACATGCACACTCCATGTAGAAAGACCCCAGGCTGGGAGTCAAACCCAAACACCTCTGAATCTAATGACATCTTGCTACAAGACAACAGTGCCACCCATTGCACCACCATGGAGCCCAAGCCAAGATCCTGACCTGTTAAAAATCCTTCTTGAAATAGTTGAAACTTTCTTATCAGCCACTTTTGAAAACTTGCTGAATCTGTGCTACATATGAGAACTGGGACCTAACATGGAAAGTGAGTCCAAATTGCTCCTATCTGTTGATCCTCATGAGCCTTTTAACATCCATATGTAATTAGTAATGTAAATCCAGTGCAGAAATACAGCAAATAGCAGGCACAACACAACTGCTGACAAGGGGAGGAATTACTCAGTTATCACAGCTAGTACGCTTAAACTGTAAAAAAACCAACAACAAAAAAAAAAAAAAAAACAGAAATGTATGGCAGCTGTTCTGTCATGCAAATGTTGCCTCATTACTCATGACCCTGTCTGCAAACATCAGTAGACTTCACACTGCCTGTTCATGTTCATGTTTACCATCCAGGGCTGTCTGTAACGTCTAGGCTGAGGGACATCAAAGGGACACGAGAGGCTAAAGATCCAATGCTGCTACCTCCAGCCTTCTCCAGGCTGACTCGCTCGCTGTTGCTTAGGAGACCGCTCGCATTTCACTTGGTTATAAACCATTGCTTTGGACAGGAGGAGGACAAAGGGGGCCAGTAATCCTCACGATGAGAAGAATCAGCCATCTGTTAAAGCCATATTTTGTCATTTATATTTGTGTATTGACTGTTTCTTAAGCGTATCCTTTACATTTCTGAAAGGAGAAAGAGAAGAATTGAGCATGTTTAGGTGAGTGTGTGAAGCCACAGAATCTGCTATAGTTCCGCTGTAAAAGCATAACTGCAGTTGAGACTGTGATTTAAAGATCTCCATCTGTTGTAGGAAAATATATCAGACCGAGTAGTTTGGTTCAGACCGTGAAAGTGGTTTGTGAATCTTGGAGAGCGGGCCAGAACCTCGGCACTTACTCCTGCATGGGTTGACAAACACACTCGCAAATGCACGCCTGAGCATGGGCACATGTAGGTCAAGCTCATGAATAACTACCCTCAGAGGAGACAGAGATAGTAGCAGGGAAGCACACTGAAAAACACTCACAGACACACACACATTACATTTTTTTTCTTCCACACACTGCTGCCCCCCTCAAAAACCCCTCTCCCCCCAACCCTCTACCTTCACCCACACCAGAGAGCACTTCAAATACCTCTGAATCTAATGACATCTCTCTTTTTATTACCATAACCAGTCCTCTGACCCGCTGAGAAAATTAGTTTACTTTCCAGGTGCATTTCAATAAGCCTATGCCAGTCTTTTTGCTGCAGCCTGTCTCTCCCACTATCCTTCCAGTCTCACACACAGACAGCACATAGCACCTTTATTAAAGACCATAGAACTCCTAACCTTGAGAACAGGGGAATCCTGTTTGTTTGCCCACAGGCTCTTGTGTAGCACACATCCTCCATTCACATGAAATAACACATTATTGTTTGCCTTAACATGAAATGAAATCCACATTTTTATTAGGAAAATTTTAATTAATTCATTTCTTTATTTTTCATCAATAGTGTTTTTTTTATCTACCTATCTCATAATGAGACTATCAGGTAAAAAAAAAGAAAGTCCAATGTTCCTAATAGAGTTGTGTGTGAAGAGCAGTAAAAGGAAGAGACAAACTGGAACTTTAAAGGGATATGTTAAAAACAATAGGTAAAAGCATCATAACCAGAAGTAATTTAGATATTTTGGACCCATCAGAATTTATAAAACAAATATTTATGCAGTATACTTTTTTAAAGTAAATGTTTTTTAATTTTGTACAACTCGAGGGCCTTCTGTGAATGTATTTGTTTTTAATAAACCCTTTGATCAAAAAGTTGAAGCTATGAACTTTAACGTCAACAAACCATAAGGAAAAATAAAATAAGTTCTTGTTTTCTTTTATGTTTGTAAAAGTTTTATTTCCAGGTTGAGATTGTTAACAGGGTGGCAAACACAAAGGAGCAATTAATAGCTGAAAGTTCAGTAAATCTTTTAAATTTCAGCAATAATCCAAATAAAAGCTATAACATAATATTGAGTACTGAGTTTATTGAAGATTTATAAAGATCCTTACCTGACCAGTAAAACCAGACAGTACAGTTTATCTAAACTCTAATGACCATTCCCAACATTCACATGCCCCTCTGTTTTGATGGAACTTGTCTACATACAAACAGATGTATACACACTTACTGTAGACCCACATTTCTTGTCATTTTCATAACAGAAAGAGTTTCCAGGATGATATGGGGACACAATTACAAATG